CTCTCAAATACATAAATAAAAAAATCTAAAAAAAAAAAAACTCACAGAACAGTGATTTTTTTACTGAATTAATGCCATTTAAACTCTCATATTCCCTACTACATAGATTTTTTTTTTCAATGAGTATGTTCAGATATTTAAGCCACCAAGAGAGTGGTGCAGTGGTATAGTAAGTTAAGTGTCCGCCTGTGGTGCTGGCATCCCATATGGGTGCCGGTTCAAGTCCTGGCTTCTCCATTTCTGATCCAAATCCCTGCTAATGGACTGGAAAAGCAGTGGAAGATGTTCCACTTGTTTGGGCCCCTGTACCCATGTAAAAGACCTGGAGGAAGCTCCTGACTTCGGATCAGCACAGCTCTGGCCATTGTGCCATTTGGGGAGTGAACCAGCAGATGGAAGATATCTCTCTCTCTCTCTGTCTCTCTCTCTCTCTCCTCCTTTCTGTCTGTAACTCTGCCTCTCAAATAAATAAATAAATAAATAAATCTTAAAAAAAAACACGCAAATAGGCAAGATGGTGTAATATAATTTGTGGAGATGTGGGTGTTGCCCAGTGAGAAACTAATTCAAAGGAGTTGAAAACATTTTCTCTTCCTTTCTTATAATCTAAAATATTTTTGGCACCTTCTGCTCTCCTTATTCAATTATTTTTCTGTGTGAATCTTCACTATAAGGTAACACTAGCAACTGTCTTTAAGAACACTGAATTCGGGGCTGGTGTTGCGGCACAGTAGGTTGAACACACTACCTGTAACACTGGCATCCCATGTTAGTGCTGGTTCCTCCAGGCTGCTCCCTTTCTGATCCAGCTCCCTGAAAGTGCACCTGGGAAATCAGTGGAGGATGGCCCCAGTGTTAGGGCCCCTGCCACCCATGTGGGAGATCCAGATGAAGTTTCTGGCTCCTGGCTTTGAGCTGGCCCAGCTCTGACTATTGTGGTCATTTGGAGCTTGAACCAGCAGATGAAAGATTCTCTTTCTCTCTCTCTCCTTCCCTCCCTCCCTCTATCCCTCCCTTCTTATCTCTCTGTAACTCTGCCTTTCAAATAAATAAAAGTAAATCTACACAAACCAAAAAGAGAATGCTGAGTTCTAACATAGATTGGTTTTTAGTTGCAAAGGTCTACTAGTACTACATAGTGCTACTGACATGCACATGAGGGCCACCAGGGGGCAGCAAGTATAAGCCACATTTAAATTTGCCTCCATAAAGGTTGATGTCATCACATTCCTATTCCAAACAAGATTTCTCAAATGTAAACAATTTAAATAGCTCAGGGATGTAAAATAACTTATGCACAGATCTTTCTCCTTTAATGTAATGATGAAAAGGCTCATCAGGCTGAAGAGCAAAATAGACTTGGTTCTAGCTCTAGCTCTTTTACTAACATGTAATTTGGAGCAATCTAAAACTTGCCTCTGGTCCACTCTATGATGTATAGATTTACATAAAATTATTCTTAATGTTCTTTCCAATTCTGAAATTATATGGTTTTCAAGTATTTATTTATTTGAAGGCAGAATTATAGAGAGGCAGAGAAAGAAAGAGAGAAGCCTTCCATCTGTTGATTCACTCCCCAGATGGCCTTAACGGCCGGAGCTGGGAGGATCCAAAGCCAGGAGACTGGATCTTCTTCCAGGTCTCCCATGCGAGTGCAGGGGCCCAAGGACTTGGGCCATCTTCTACTGTTTTCCCAGGCCATAGCAGAGAGCTGGATTGGAAGTGGAGCAGCCAGGCCTCAAGTGGGTACCCATGTAGGATGCCAGCATTGCAGGTGATGTCTTTACCTGCTACACCACAGTGCTGGCCCCTATTTAACTTCTTAAAAAAAAAAAAACAAAAAAACTGGGATGGGCATTGTTATGACAGCATCCCATAACAGAATGCTGTTTTGAGCCATAGCTGCTCTACTTCTGGTCCAGTTTCCTGGTAATATACCTGAGAAGGCATGGAAGATGGCCCAGGTATCTAGGCCTCTGCCTACCACATGGGAGACCTAGATGGGGTTCCAATTGCCTGCCTTTGGTCTGGTTGCCGTTTGGAGAGTGAACCAGTGGATGGAAGATCTCTCTGTGTCTCCTTTTCTCTGTTGCTCTGCCTTTCAAATTAATTAATTAATTATTTTTAAAAAGTCTCATTAATAAAATAACATGCATATAACCTTGTGATAATAGTGGTGGCAACATTTTCTGGAATAATATCTTGTACTTTAAGCCATTAATGCAAATTGTTTTTATTTAAAAAAAAACAATATCAGACAGTCAAGTTGTTTTCACAGTTTTCCTTTTAAACCACTACATATGTGAACTCAATAGTAGTTACTCCATCAACATTCTAAAATCATGAAGGTTATACAATTTTTTAAAAATGGTTGGTTTGAAGGCCCAAGGAAATAGTGGGTTTGATTAGATGAAAGGACACGTTAGACCAAACTACCGCCATGACTCCATTGTGCAAGTGCTGCCAGCTTCTGAATATGGCTGATTTTGATAGGCTCATTGAGTTTAGAATTATTCTTTGAGATCATTCAAGGGTCTTCCTTAGGAATACCCATCACAATAACCCAGATTCCATCCATGCCTTCATTGTCAGTGAAACTCTCTTCTGGATAGAATTTTTTACAAGCACCCATGATAACACTGTCCACATATAAAGGGAAAACAGAAACTGCTTCTGAGCCCAGACAGGCCTTGGGATGGCATTTATACCACCACCCACACAGTGTACGGTCTTCCACTCCCTTAACCCTCATTTAGGACACCTGCCTTCCAGCATGCCTAAGGAAGGAAGAACTAGGCCTGGCTGGCCGTGGGTGCGAGGGCTGAAGGCAAGTCCTTCTCTGGCACAGCACACCAGGATGGCTGCAAGCCAGGGTGGAAGGATGCTGTAGGCCTGCTCTAGACTGCCGGCCCTGGCAGCTCATGAGCTGCCTCCCGCCCCTGGGGCCAGTCAGCTTCCTCCCCAGACAGTCCTAGACCCACAAGCTCAAGTCAGTGCCCAAGTTACCAGCAGGAGGTGATACCATCTTCATTCCAACCAGTTTGCTAGAGTAAGAGCAATGTGATGTCTCAGAGCAACAACTTCAGAAATTGCCCAGTCTGTTTTAATGAGATGAGCCCTTTAGACATGAGTGAAAGACTGCCTAGATTCAGATCATGACTACTCGGGAGTCTATGCCTCAGTAGCCTCATCTGTAAAGTGGGCATAGCATAGCCCACATTTGCTGGCTGTTTGAAGAAGTAATACTTGGAAAGCTATTATAACTATTACTGAAACTTAGAACACTAGGATTTAATTTCTAATGTTTGGTTTTCTCCAGTGATTTTCCAGCGAGGTGTTCCTAAGATTTTCACACCGAGATGCTTACTGATAACTCGAAGTGCTTACTGATAACTCGCTGTGCACACTGACAGATCATTTGACCTCCTTTTCTTATCTGAGGTCTTCATGCTCCAGATATGATAAACGCCCTCAGAGGGTCTCGATGGATGTTGGGAAAAGAACAAACCGAGGACATCAGCAAGTCGATCGCCCAGACACTCTCGGTCCTCACATCTCCTGGGGCTCATGATTTCTCAGCAGCGGCGTGTGGTGCACGTGAAACGCAACTGGCCCTGCACCCAGGGCTACACTGCAGAGCCCCATTCCATTGGTTGCAGATAGTTTTGAAGATATCTCTGCGCATAGCACATCCTTTCCTGTGATGGTTACGACCTCTGCCAGCACTCGGCCGAAACAAAGGCCCGATTAGAAAAATCGCGCGTTTCTTTTGTACACATTGGCTGTCAGCGTCCGCGTGTCCGCCAGTCCTCCGGCGGGCAGAGAGCGTCCTCAGAGGAGCAGCAGCGAGCCCAGCGGCAGCTCGCCCTGGCCCAGCCGGCGGCCCCGCTCCAGGCCGCGGCCCTTGTTCTCGGCCTTGACCCGCACGGCCAGGCGGCGCACCTGCTCCTCCGTGAGGCCGTCGAAGCAGAAGTCCTGGTCCAGGGCGCCCTTGCGGCTGCGGCCCAGCACGGCGCGGCGCGGCTTGCGCGCGGAGCCCGGCGCCTGCAGGACCAGGCTGACGCGGCAGCAGACGGCGCGGGGCTCGGGGCCGCCCCCGGCCGGGCCCTCGGCGCGGAGCAACCGGACGCGGAGGCGCCCGCTGCCCGGACAGTACTCGGCGGCCAGGCGCAGCGCGCAGCCCGGCGCGTCCCCAGAGTCACGGGGCCCTTCGGCTCTCCAGGCCGCTCGGGGCCGGCGGGCCCGGGGGCCGACGAACGGGGAACGCGGGGGCCCGGGGCCCCCGGGGGTCGGGGCCCGCGCTCCTTCGTCCTCCGTCCCCCGCTGGAAAACGGAACGGGGCGCGGGCCCAGGGCCGGGGGCTCCCTTCGGAACCCGCAGCGCGCGGCTCAGCAGCCCGTGGGGGGCACGCAGGAGGCAGCGGCCGCGGAGCCGCGGGGCGAGCGCCTCCTGGGGCGGGTGGTGGCCGCCGGGGGCTGCGGGGCTGGTGGCGAGCGCCGCGCTCAGCGCTCGCGGGCAGCGCTGGGGCTGGAGCGCGCCGTCTCCTCCTCCCCCTCCTCGACCGCCGCCGCCGTAGGTGTGAGCCCGGCGGCGGAGCGCCGCCGCACCACGGCTGCCGAGGAAGAGCGACTCCTTGCGGCGGATGTGCGGGCTCTCGAGCAGGGCGCAGAAGCCGTAGGCGGTGCGGGCGCGGCGCAGGTGCGGCAGTGAGAGTGCGGCCTGCGAGCGCGGGTCCCAGTCTGTGCGGCCGGCGCTCTCATCAGTCCCTGCCTCCTCGCTCCAAGAATTTCGGAGCGCGGCCAAGGCCAGGCTGGGTTCGAGTCTCGGCGGGATGCAGAACTCAGGGATGCGATCAGGGGTGAGCACGTTCGTGAACGCAGCGGGCGCGCGGGGCCTGCCCAGGCGAGCCCGGCCAGGGAAAAATCCATCTCCGCTCCTCAGGAGACGCTCGGGACTCCAGCGGAGTCGCTCCAGGCACCACATTGGGCGTCAGGTGCAGGATCGGGGTGGGGGGAGTGGGGGCGGCTCTCCGCTGCAGCTGGTTAGCCTGCAAAACACAAGCGCACAGCTGCTGTCAGAGCGAGCCCCACTGGGGCTCCTCGGGGTGTTTCCCCCTGCCTCCCTTCTCACTTCTGTGGCAAACTGCACCTCACTTCTCTAGTTTTTCGGTGATTAAAAACCAACCGTCTTTCCCCCCATGCAGTCTCGGCTGCATGTGCACTTTGGGGCTGCTTATTTTAAATGTTCATTCGCCCCGCTGGCCCCGAAGTGCTGGCTTCTTTGATCACTGTGTCCTCGGTGCGGAGAGGCGCTTTGCTTTGTGCGGCCGTTTTCTGAGTTCTTAAGGGAGTTTTGTACTCGAGTCCACAGCGAAAATTAAAATAATGATCATCCCTTGCAGGAAATAAGGATCATCCCTTGAGGCTTATTCTCTCCTTTAAGACGTAAAGAGCCCCTTCCTCCCAGCCCCCACCCCTGGAAGGATTAAGCAAGCGGATGGGTCCCTGGTAAGGTACCTGGGGTTTGGAGCCAGGCGGGTGTCCACAGCGTTCTGCCCGGGGCACCGAGTGGGCGAGACGTGCAGTCTCTGAAATTCAAAGCGCGCGCGGCGGGGTTCAGCACCCGGACCCAAGGACAGCGGGTCCGAGTTTTTATACCCGCTGTGGGCAGCGCGGGCCAATGGGCCAGCCACGGAGCGCTGCCGCCTGGTAACCTGATTCCAGGCCCGCCTCTTTCCCGCTGCCACGTGGCTGGATCAGCGGCAAGGGTCTGGAGCCCTGGTTCTTTATCTTGCAACAGGTGGAGGTGTGGGAAGCTCCGATCAGGTTTCTCTTTCCTTACGGGCAAAAGCGGGTTAAGTTTCGATGGTATCGCGGCATCACTGTGAAGACCACCGCACACAGTGATCGTGAATGCGTGGAAGCACTCTACTCCCTCCAAGAAAAATGAAGACGGAAGTTGGGTTTGTCTCTTAGCTGATACTTTTCCTCAAATCCAGCCCTCCCCATGGCCCATTTTTGGAAGTTCTTGGTTTTGCGCTTTGCAGTCCTGGTGTTAAATGTTTTTTGTTGGGCACTGGTCACTATGGGTTTGGGCAGACCTTAAGGGGTGCTGGAAACTTTGTATCTTGCACTGGGTGGGGTTACAGTGGTGTGATGTATGGTATTTTAAAAAAAAAGTCATCTAGTGTACACTTAAGATAGGGCACTTTATTGTAGGTGTGTTGTGCCTCAGATTAGAAAAATCTCAACCTGCTTCTGAAACCAAGTGCTGATTTTTGCCTGGATGAATATAGTTTCAATGACATCTGTGCTGTTCGACTCATCCTTGGGAGGCCCCCTGACCACATGTGGCCTTTCTAGGCTGTGCCTACCCAACAGACCCTTTTTCTTCCTTTTCGGAACTAACCTGTGTTCATTCTGTAAGAGTTGCTTCCCATTAGTTCAGGCTGAAGGAGATCTGTGGCATTTTGAGCGGAGTTTGGCAGTGTGTTTTTTCCACTTTGGAGACTGTCTTGCAAATTAATTACTTTTCCAAATAATATTCAATGAATTCAGCTGCATTCATGCAAATACGTGTTCAGGACACGGACACACACACACACATATTTTTATCTAGTTTCCAGGACATAAAGGCACTGAGACAGTTGATTTAGTGATGGTCTATAGAACTGTCACAAAACCCTGTACATTCTGATCATCCTTGTTTTATAAATGAGAGACACTTTGAGAGGTTCATTAACTTGTCCAAAATCACAAAATGATGGGAAATAATACCTACTAATGGGTATAAATTGGCTTAGGGGGTAAATAACATAAACTATTTTCCGCTGTGTCTGGAGCATGATAAGTGCTAAATACACAGAAGCAGTATTAATAATAAAATGGAAGGGGCATTGTAGAATATAGTGGTTAAGGAAAAATAGATCTTAAGTCGTATCTCACTTTGATTCCACAATGGTGGCCACTCTGACCTTGAGCAAGTTACTTAGTCTTTCTATAAACCTCAATATCAAATGTAAAAGTGATAATAGTATCCACTTGCAGGTACCATAGTGTTGTCAAGAGCACATCAGAGTTTAGCATAGAGCCTGACAAGCACAATGTCAGATATGAAACTTATTTTTTATTACAGAAGAGAGCAAATGCTCATTAATTCATTTGAGCCAGTATTTTATGAATGCTTCTTGGGTTCCTGCCACCATGCTAGGCAAGTGAATCCAGGATGTACAAGACTGGGTCAGCTATGTACATCCATCAGAAAAGGGATGAAATGGTGAGATGAGATAGCAAAGACGCTATTGAATGCTATTTATATATATTCTCTGGGAGAAGTATTAGTGGGTCCCTGGGTTTTACTTGCCCTGTAGTAGCTACTTCTAAGTCTTGGTATCTCTAGCCAGGGCTAAATCTATGGGGGCATGATTACCTAATTATATATTCAAGGGTCATATGCCTGTGCTCTCAGTTTTTCTCAGGAGACAAGCTGCTGTTGGCTCTACAAGTGACATCTCAGAGAGCCTGCAGTTCCAAAGAGGACAGATCAGAGCTCACGATCAGAGAATTTGGGTAAGAAGTTAAGCAAATTTATTTAACATGTTTGAGTCCAAGGTGTAAAGTGGGGTTAATAATACCTACCACATAAAATTGTTCTAAGAGTCAAAAAGATATGTGTGAAAATGATTGTCAAAGTGTAAGTGCCAGTTAACAGCTGTTATTATTGTTATGTATGTTTGCTTGGTCAAAGATTAGCTGATGCACACACAGATTCATTCAACAACATTTCTCTGTCCAGCCAACCAAAGCAAATTTGTTTTGTTTTGCCAACAGTTCATCTTCAGTAACACCTTAGAAGCATTTCCTGTGGAAGACTTCTTGCAAACAGGAGAGATGTGTCCTTACGTGACTGGTTCCCTGTGACCACGTTAAGCCTTATGTTTTACTTAACACGGAAGTGTGAGCCGTCCAGTACTTGGGAGGATAGTTCAACAGGGTCAGGCCAAGTACCTGGACACGGAAATATCCGCAGAGGAAGACTGTGGCCATTCGAGCTCACAGCGTGAGCCACAGAACATCCAGTCATGGAGCTGGAAAACAATTCAGTGAAGCAGACATAAACAGGGCCCATATGGGAGAGACCAGAGGTATGCACAGAGTGAAAAGAAACGAACACTTTAAAGCAGACTCACATACCTGTGTATAGAAGGCTGCATTTCAAGGAAAGGAAGAAGAGGTTATGACCAATAAAATGCAAGTATTCTGGCTTATACAGAGATTTCAACAACTGAAGTATGGAAGACTACAAAGAATATAAACCAGGGAGTCCGGGCAGGGCTTTTAACTCAGACCAGTCAGTAACTGATGGGGCTTTATTCTCTCTGGCACCCAGTTCTGTCTGTCAAGTGGGGGGTTTGGATTACCCAGATGATCTAAAGCGGCCTTCTGGCTCTGAATTGTGCAGTCTATTCTTGTGCTTGCTCCAGGTTGACCTGGCTCCATTTTTACACAGGCCATGGTGCTGTGGCTTATGTTAGCTTCCCCCTACATTTCCTGCTGTCTTTTTCTGCCCAAACTCTTTTTTTCCTCCAGAAACTCCAGGGTTGGGAAATGGAGTGCAAGGTAGTTTGAAGTTAGAATTTCCTTACTTTTAAAGAGTTGTTCATTAGTAAAGTCCTCTAATTTTGACTTTTGTTGTAGCAGAAGTATTTCACTCATCTGTGTTTATTACTCAGTCCCTCATTGTAGTTTAATTTTTAACTGCCTTTGTTAGCCTTCCTGTTCTTAAACTGGAATGAAGGGAAGAACTTTAAGCATGAGAATGTTCATATTTTCTTCAGATAACCTGTGCATGCAAATTGTTTCTGGCATAGTGCCAGAAAGTGTACTGGGGTGCTACTGGTGTTTCTTGACACTATAGCTTGTTTCAAATTGGGATTGGGAATTTCTGACTTCTTAATGAAATAAGATTTGAGGCATTATTGTATGCATCTAATACCAATCTCTCAATACATGCTAATAGTGGAAAATACTGAAATTCAAAAACTATATTATAGTAACAGCACTGTACTTTTTTTTCTTTAAAGATTTCTATATTTATTTGAAAGGCAGAGTGACAGAAGGAGAAGCAGACATCTGCCATCTGCTGGTTCACTCCCCAAATGGCTGCAAACAGACAAGTCTGGACCAGGCGGAAGCCAAGAACTCCATCCTGGTCTGCTCTGTGGGCGGAAGAGACCCCAGCACTTGGGCCATCATCTGCTGCCTTCCTAAACTCATTAGCAGGGAGCTGGATTGGAAGTGGGGCAGTCAGGACTGGAAGCAGCACTGATACAGATGCCAGCCAGCATCCTAAGCTTAATCCACTGTACCACAATGCTGTCCCCTGTACTAAAAATTTTTAGCTTACTTTTCTGAGGGATGTTTTATTCTGCCATTATTCAGAGTGATATTTCTGAGAAATAGTAGCCCAGCTGTGATTAAATGTAATTACTGAAAGAGAAAATATGACAGTGCTCGGGGAAGCAATGAACAGTTGCTGTGTGCTTTAGGGTAAGTCATTTAACACTCCTGAGCTTAAGTTTTCTATAGAGTGTGGACAATACCACCTGCATTACTTACCTCACAGGTCTTTTTGTGATCTGTGTAATATGCCTGCGTTGGCATATTGGTAAGATTATTGCTCATGAGGTGGAACTGAAAGATAAAATTCAGGTTAAGTATTCCTAATACAAAATGCTCTGAAATCTGAAACCTTTTGAGTGCCAACATGACAGTCAAAAGACCTTTAGATTAGGTCTTGCAGCATTTCAGTTTTTTGTTAGAGAACTTTGGTGAAGTCTATGTAATTATTTCACTACCCCCCAAATGCCAAAATCTGAAACACTTCTGGTCCCAACCAGTTTTGGATAAAGGATACTCAGCCTGTAAAACGAAATGAGGCATATAAAAAGCACATTTATATATTTATGCTTTCAATTATCACACAGGCATTAATAGAGCTTATGTCTCCCACTAGATGATGCCATCCCACTGCCCAGACCAGGCTATGAGGCCTGTACCATCTCCTGCATGGTTATGGTATTGTTACTCACACATCCTTGCACTGGTTTTCCTTAAGCTTTTTTTTTTTTTTTCCTGAAGCTTTTACACATGCCTTATTGCGACCAGAAGAGTTTCTTTACACTTGCCTCTGTGCAGAGAAAGTGTGAATGTAAAAGGCTGGGAGATTGCTAGGGAGTATCAGTAGAAATAACTTGGGGACACATTCAAGAGGGAATTCTGAACACTGGCAAGTTCCAGTATTTTTTAAATTTATTTACTTGAAAGTCAGAGTTACACAGAGAGAAGAAGTAGAGAGAGAGAGAGAGAGAGAGAGAAAGAGAGAGAGAGAGAGAGAAATCCTCCATCCACTGGTTCATTCCCCAGTTTGCTGCAATGGCCAGAGCTGTGCTGATTAGAAGTCAGGAGCCAGGAGCTTCTTCAGGGTCTTCCACGCATGTGTAGGGGCCCAAGGACTTGGACCATCTTCCACTGCTTTCCCAGGCCACAGCGGAGAGCTGGACTGGAAGAGGAACACCTGGGACCCAGTATGTTCTTGAGCAGGTGACTAAGTTGAGGTCAGGTGTGCTTTGGGAAACTAATTCTGATGTCAGCATGAACAAGGCAAATCTGGAGACTGGGAGAACCATCAGGGTGACTGCATGGTATAGGGAAGATATGAGAATTGGAAAAACAGAATAGATAGGTATGGCAGTCAATGCGTTGTGTGTCAAAGTGTCCCCTAACTGGGCGGTGCTGTGGTGTAGTGGTGGAGCCACTGCCTGCAGTGCTGGCATCCCATATGGGTACCGGTTGCAGACCCAGCTGCTCCACTTACAATCTGCTGTGGCCTGGGAAAGCAGTAGAAGACGGCCCTAGTGCTTGGGCCCCTGCATCCATATGGGAGACCCAGAATAAGCTCCTGGATCCTGATTGGTGCAGCTCTTGTTGCTGCCAAGTGGGGAGTGAACCAGCAGATGGAAGATATCTCTCTCTCTCTCTCTCCTCTTTCTGTGCAACTCTTTCGGATAAATAAATCTTTAAAAAAAAAAAAAAGTGCCTCCTAGGTATTTGTGTTAGTGGAAAAACAAATAGTTAAGGATTTCCCCCCCACTGTGGCAGGAGTGAAAGAGGAGGTGGATATTTATAAACCTGTTAATACTCTGGTTCCTTCTTTATTGTGTTTTTCCATCTCCAACACTTTCAGGAAATGTTCTATTTGATCCTGTAGAAGCTGATTTAAACAACAATACAGCCTTTCTCTTTCAGATCTACCCTAGCAAAGCATTTAATAAATCCTGTGTCTATGTTCAGCATTTCTTAGTTTCTGTTTACTGTCGCTCCACAGTTTTTTTGAAACAAATTTTAGAAAAAAATTTCCAGGGGGTGGTTGCATTTCACCACAGTTCCAGGACTTTGCGAGTACACGAGCCGCGCTTTGAATGGCTCGCCGGCCCAGGGACAGTTCCATGCCAGCATAGAAGAAAGTGACATAAATAACGGCTAACCGCACTCACAGGGGAGAAGGAAAAAAAAAAAAAAAAAAAAGGGAAGTGCTCTGGTCTGTGAAGTAGCAGCTCTGGAAAGGGCTGAATCCGCAACTACCGCTGAGCAGTCCCCATACGGTCTTCCATCTGGATGCGGCTCCGCTCCGCCTCCTCACCCCTTAGTAAGGTGTGTATTCCAGAAGCCGAAGGCCGCGGAGACCTTGCCGCAGGCGGAGGGCAAAGTCGCAGGACAGGAAGCCGGGGTCTCCTTTAGTTTGCTTAGGAGACGCCCAGCGTGGGCAGCCGCGCACGCCGGCTCCGGGCAAGGCTCCCGGGGTGGCCTTCGCTCCGGCAGGGCAGTGACCTCCTCTGGCCCTAGGTCAGCAGTAGGTGACCGAGGGCTCGCAGAGCGGCCCCGTAGATGTCCAGGCGCCTAGGAACGCCTGCGCGCCCTTTTCCTTCCCGAATGTTCTCTGTGTCCTATAGGCCGCCCGGGAACAGCTGCTAAAGCGGGCCCTTAAACCAGCTTCCCCGGGGCTCCAGCTGGCGGGGCCTGCTGCACCCCTGAGGCCGCGACGCCCGGCCGGGGCCCACGCACTTCTGGCGCGCCGGCGGCGGCGGCGGCGGCGGCGGCAACGCGCCTGCGCACATTCGGGGTCACGCGCGCGGCGCGGGGGCGGGCTGGCGCCGGAGGGGCTGTCATTCGCGGCTCGGGTCGCCGCCCTTCGCTGCGCCCAGTGGGTTCCGGCTCCTCCTCCTCCCTCCGCCTCAGCCCCACCATGGTGCTGGAGTCGGTGGTCGCGGACCTGCTGAACCGCTTCCTGGGGGACTACGTGGAGAACCTGAACAAGTCGCAGCTGAAGCTGGGGATCTGGGGCGGTGAGTTGAGAGGGGCGCGGCCGGCGGCCGCGGAGGGGCCCACGCCGAGGGCTGCAGCGGGGGTCCGGTGCTCTCCACCCGCCGGGGACTCCAGCTCCGGAGCGTGTCAGGTGCGGGGCGCGGGGCGCGGGGCGCCTCTGTCCGCTTGTGTCTCCCGCAGCTTCCCGGGACTCCCAGGTCGCGGGGAGATGCTGCGGGGTCACGCCCGCGCTGTCCAGATTCCCACCTTCCCTGTCCCTCCGGTCCTGGGGTCCGTGCCTCTGCCTTGCTCTGCCCTGCCCACCTCGGGGGTCCTCCCGTTGCGTTCTGCCCGGCCCCTTTAGCGCCACAGCCTTACCAAAAAAACCAACACCAAAAAAACCAAAAACCATTTCTGCGTGCGTCTCGGTGGAGTGACCACAGCTTCGTGACCATGGCCCAATAAAGTGGCACCCAGGAAGAAGAAGAGGAAGGTTGCCTCCCTGTTGTCTTCTTGGTAACAGGCACTGCAGGGTTTGAGAGGGGAGAGACGGGAAGAGCCTTCAGAAAGGCGTGCCCGTAGGGATTCCTACTGTTAATGCTTTTAGCTTTTGAAGAAGTCATTTCTTAATACTTTTCTCTTAACGTGAAGAGGCTTTCAGTTTTGTTTTGGAAGGATAGAAATTCAAGCCGTGACCAGCATCATCGTTAATTAGGTGCCTGCTTGGTTGCCTGCCCAGGAATTCGTGCCAACGTTTTTTATCCTGGAGATTAAGTGGGGAAAGCTAGACAGTCAGTAGTATGTTTGCTTATCCTGCAAAGAGCTAAATTAGTTGCTTGAATTAACGTGTTAAGGTTTGGGGATATTGGATACTTTCTCACTCTAAAAAAGTTTGGCGGATTTTGTCACCTTTGGAGAGAAACCAAAACAACTGTTTAAATGAATGAAACTGCCTTTAATTGATCAAGCAGTAGTTACATACCTGTGCTGTTCATTAGCGGCCACTAACCACTGTAGCTAGTGAGCACTTGCAGTGTGTGGATCTTTTGAATTGCGATATTCTACAAGCATAAAAAGCACAACGCTTTTGAATACGTTTATTTCTTTTAATGAAATGGGGGAAGTGTAATATTAATAACTTTTGTTGCGATGAGAATATTTGTATTGGGTTAAGTTAAATGTATTATTGAAACCCATTTGCCCTCTTTCTACTGTTTTTTTGGTGTGACTCTTAAACTTTGTAATTATAAAATTTGTAATTATACGCGTGGAGCATGTTTATGTTGAGCCGTGCTGTAACAGAACCGTGAATGCTGCCAGGAACTGTGGAGAGGACCCAGGTCCCTGATCATATGATTGGTTCACGGTGGTTTGTCCAACAATGCATAACTTTGTTTACTCTTTCCTCCCACCACTAAATACAATGCAAAAGGAAGGGAAGTGAAGACAGACCTTTACAAATTAAATATCCAGTACCTTTTGGGGAGATCAAGGGTTTCTTTGGAATATTGGCAATGTTACCACATATTCCTTGTGGTCAGTAAACGTTAATTGAAATATGTGAAAGCCAAGGGTTACCAAATCTGCAATCTGAGAAAGCATTGGGTTTTGGACCTGGTAGGTTGCTGTGTTGGACAAATCATTTACTTTACTCACCTTAGTTTCTTCCTCTTAGTTTATGCTTCGTTAGTTTATTTCCCAGGAGATACTTGGCAAAGTCAGATATTTCTTGCTTGTCACATTGAGAGATGTGTGCTGCTGGTACGTACTGGATAGAGCTAGTGACACCACACTGTAAACGTCCTCGTATGCAGACAGCAGCTCTTTGCAGCAAAGAATTGTTCAGCCTTAAGTGTTAGTTGAGAAACCCTGCTCTAAGGAGAATACTCTTCTGCTTTAAGAGGGGGCCTTCTGGGTGTTGAACCAACTATCATAAGGAGTAAATAAAGGACTTAGGGAGTATGTTGCTCTTATGAAATGTATAACTTGAGAGAGAGAAGTCTTTTTTTTTTTTAAAGATTTATTTATTTATTTATTTGACAGAGTTACAGACAGTGAGAGAGAGAAAAAGAGAGAGAGAGAGAAAGGTCTTCCTTCTGCTGGTTCACCCCCACAAATGGCTGCTACTGCCGGTGCTGTGCCTATCTGAAGCCAGGAGCCAGGTGCTTCCTCTTGGTCTCCCATGCGGGTGCAGGGGCCCAAGCACTTGGGCCATCCTCCACTGCACTCCTGGGCCACAGCAGAGAGCTGGAGTGGAAGAGGAACAACCAGGACTAGAACCTGGCGTCCATATGGGATGCCAGCGCCACAGGTGGAGGATTAACCAAGTGAGCCACAGTGCCGGGCCCAAGAGAGAAGTCTTAGGAAGTGACTGAAAGTTATCAAGTTGGTAAGAATGCATGATCTTTGGGTAATCTCAGGAAGTTGCTTACCATTCAGAATACTGTAACATGATTTGAAAAATGCACACATTCATACATGTATAGGCACTGGCAATGAAATCTACAATAGGCAAAAATTATTCAAATGGCAAGAATCAGAAATGTTGCCTTTATTTAATTGTATTTTTAAAATGTTTTATTTAGAGGTTGGCACTATGGCATAGCAGGTAAAGCTGCCGCCTGCAGTGCCAGCATCTCATGTGGGTGCCGGTTTGAGTCCTGACTGCTCCACTTCTGATCCGGCTCTCTGCTGTGGCCTGGGAAAGCAGTAGAAGGTGGCACAAGTCCTTGGGCCGCTTCACCCACGCAGAAGAAGCTCCTGGCTTCAGATCAGCCCAACTCTGGCCATTGCAGCCATCTCGGGAGTGAACCAGTGGATGGAAGACTTCTCTCTTTCTTTCTGCCTCTGCCTCTGTGTAACTGTCTTTCAAATAAATAAATAAATCTAAAAAAAATTTAAATGTTTTATTTATTTATTTGAAAGGCAGAGTGATGACTGTGTGGAGGGAGGGAGAAGGAGAAAGGAAGGGAGAGAGAGCAACAGGGAGAGATCTTCCCAATTGCTGGTTTGCTCCCCAAATCCCCGTAATGGCTTGGGCTGGGCCAGGCTGAAGCCAGGAACCCTGAACTCCAGCTTGGTCTCCTGTCTGGGTGGCAGGGATCTAAGTGCTTGGATATCACCTGCTGCCTCTCAGGGCGTGCATTTGCAGGAAGCAGAGCAGGGACTCCAACCTAGGCACTCTGATACGGGACATTTGCCTGCCACACAGTGTCTTAACTGCTGTTCCCAACACCCACCCCCCAGATAGTGCCTTTAAGTTGGAGCTGAGAAAAACAAACAAAACAGCTGCCATCTTTTTTCCTGTTTCTACTTTTTTTTTTCTTTTAAAGATTTATTTATTTATTTGAAAGGCAGAGTTACAGAGAGGCAGAGGCACAGAGAGAGAGAGATCTTCCATCCACAGGTTTACTCGCCAAATGGCTGCAACGGCCGGAGCTGCACTGATCCGAAGCCAGGAGTCAGGAGCTTCTTCTGGGTCTCCCACACCGGTGCAGGAGCCCAAGGACTTGGGCCGTTTTCTTCTGCTTTCCCAGACCATAGCAGAGAGCGGGATTGGAAGTGGAGCAGCTGGGACCTGAACCGGTGCCCATTTGGGATGCTGGTGTTACAGGCGGCTGCTTTACCCACTATGCCACAGCGCCAGCCCCAAAATATTTTAATTCTTTAAGTCTCCATCTCCTAATATGCAGAAAGGATGTGTAACATGGTATTTATGATTTAAATGATATGAAAATTCTTTATATTTGTTAATAATGCAGTACTGATGATAAACCTTGCAAAATGATGGAAAAAAAGCCTATTTTGTTTTATTTTGCTTTCATAAGTATGCTTCTTCTACCTTCAGCCTTTGGGAGTTTTATATCGTATATAGAGTGACAATTTTGTGTAGAGTTAACATTAAGTATATAAACATTTCTTATTTTACAAACAGATTTCTTAAAGGACAAAAAAA